GTACAAGAGAGAGCTCTTACATGGACTTGCACTTGCTCTTTCAGGTGGGTCCATTTCCCTAATGGACAAAGAAGGACTGACTGCCCTTAGCTGGGCTTGTCTGAAGGGCCATCTTTCCGTGGTGCGTTCCCTGGTGGAGAATGGAGCTGCCACAGATCACGCTGACAAAAATGGACGCACTCCCCTGGACCTGGCAGCTTTTTATGGTGATGCAGAGGTGGTAAGTGCCGTGTTGTTAATTGCAGAACAAGGAAGAAATCAGCAGAAATACCATAAAATATTAGTGCTCAAATGTCTCGTCCATCTTGCTGCATTCACGTAACACCCAGACCTGCAGACTAGAGCAACACAAGAGTAACTTTATCTCAGATACTATAGTGTTGGGCCCAGGATGAGACCCAGAATGGAATAGAACGTAGCTCCGTACACACTGCATGGAATTGTGCCAGGCTGGTCTTGCATAGGGCAGTGGTGACTGTGGCATTCATCATTGCAGGTTCAGTTTCTGGTGGACCATGGTGCCATGATCGAGCATGTTGACTACAGCGGGATGCGCCCACTCGACAGGGCTGTGGGGTGTCGCAACACTTCCGTCGTGGTCACTCTTCTGAAAAAAGGAGCGAAGATAGGTAGGGTGAAGGGGGGAACCCCTCTTTCAGCTGTTTACTAAAGCAGGACGTCCGGGGCGTGGGTCTGGCTTCCTGCAGTGTAAATGGAACATTGGTGTGAACGTTAAAGCGGAGCGGCTGCTTCCTACCCAGAGTGCAGCACATGAGTTCTGACTGTCGTGCTCTGTGTGTTCAACTGTGATTTTTGCTGCCATATACTACTTAGCAAACGTAACCAATAAGCAGCTGTTTCTTTGGCGAGGCCTGTCCTATGGTAATGCTTTTCTACCTTTACTAGTCCCGGTCTATAAACAGAACCGTATTCATGCATTGCTGTGAGCTGCTGCTTTCACTCGCTCTGTATATGCTTTCAGATTCTAGCGTTAACTGCGCTGCTCCACACAGCCGCTCACGTTACCTTGCCCTTGGAGGGGATTTTGCTGGTGCATTGGCTTCTTTGCTGCCTGCCTCTCACTGCTGCTTTTTCCTTTCTTTGTTTTTGTTTTTTTTCACCTTCATCCATTTTCCCCCCCTCCTACAACTTTTTGTTTTCTCCTTTCTTTGAAGGTTGTCAGACGTTACCGAGTCGCCCTCGAGGTATATTTCATCGCTGTCAGCATCAGGCTTGATCTGATGGCTTTGTCAGCTTTGCTTTCTCCTGTTTGATTTAGCCTGCATGCATTCCCCTCGACCCCTAATCTTTTAATTTACCTCACCTTAAAATATTTTGTTAATGACTGTTGCAGAGAATAACTTGAACTCAAAAACTAATCCTGAAAAACACATTGGATTCACTTTTAAAATATGGTTGACTCCTTCTTCACCCAGACTAATGAACTCTGCTCAAAATTTTACCACTGCTCCCTAGCTGTATTAGGCCTTGATCCATCAATTGACTCTGGGTGGATGCCTGCACTCGCTGAAGTCAGTGAGACCCTGCATTGGTGCAGCTCTCTGCCTATGGGGAGTCAATTGTGGGAACAAGACCTTAGAATAACCTGCTTCAGCGTGGGCTCTGCCTAAAAGATTTTGTTGTTATATTCTCCAGCTTATTGAATTTTCCATTCTTTAGTATTTGACATCATATGAAGTTTTAAATCAAAACCTAGTCCTAATATCTAGGCGGCTGAATTATTGATTACCTCTGTTAAATTTATATATATTTACTTAACATGCTTTTTTATGTAACCACTTTGATTTCCTCTTTAAACATATTTTTTAAACCCAACCATTTCCCCCAAAGCTTATTCTACAACATGTGCTGCCCTCTTGTGATCATTTAAAAAAGAACCAAGTCTTTGAACGAATACAAAGGAAAGACATTGTGTTGAAGATGGTGTTAATTTAAGAAATGCAAGATGAACTGCCAGCCCTTTAATTTGGAGCAGTCTGCTCCTTGACCACGCCAAGTTGTTCTCTCCAGCAGAAATTCCCACCCCAGGATATTTTTTCCACCTAGCTTCCTACCACCCTTGCATTGTATGAGTTTTTTACCCATCATGCATCCTGTACACTACAGGTCCAGCAACCTGGGCGATGGCCACCTCCAAACCAGACATCATGATCATCCTGTTGAGCAAGCTGATGGAGGAGGGGGACATGTTCTATAAGGTGAGAGGGAGAGCAGAGATTTTTCCAAGGGATGACTGTGAGAGAGCTACAGAGTTACTTGGTGTGAGGTCTTGTTCTTCAGGTGTCAGTTTGCTAAGCAACACTTGCCCCCTTAATCCAAGCCAAGAGATAGCTACATTTCTATCAAAAAGAACGCTTACTGGATTGCTTGCATTGCAGAGGAGTTTTACCTTCTGATTGCTAAATTTAAACAGGGCTGAAACAAAGCAAAATATGTCTGCATTGTGTGGATTCGAGGTGAGACGTCATTGGTTTTCCACCTTGAAAACTCCAGAACCAAAGAGTTGACAGGGATTTTATAGCACTGATGTTGTTGCTTGGCAGTGTCATTGTTACGCAGCAGAGTCATTGCTATACAACAAGGAGAAAACACAATACGAGTGTCACAGGCCAACATAGTGAAAAAATGTCCATGTAATGAAAGCAAATTCTCAGGACATGGTTTTTTTTAGCCTGTCATTACCATTAGGGTGACATTTCACAATGACAGCAATAGAGGCCCTTTGCTCTGCATTTATTTTTAGCTGGTCTTCAATACCTGGAGATTTGCACACACACAAGAAGCTGTAAGTCCAACGATGATTCAGAGTGAGTCTGAGAGTGAAGTAGAAAATATGCAAAGCTGGCACCGTAACTGAACTCATCTGCCAGGGATATATGACACAACTGAGGAACTTGAGTCTAAAGGATTTTAAAGCTTAATATTTGCAGCTGCAAAATTAATGTCTGGATAGTCATGAATTGCATGTGTCCTAATTCCCGTTTTCCCCTCCCTCTTTTTTTTTTTCCCCATTGCTGCCCATGTGTTAAACTTGTGCATTTAAAAAAAAAATGAAGCTACAATAATACGACCAGGTTTATCCTCCCCCTCAGAGAGGCCTCCCCTTCAGTCCCATGTCTAAGCCCTAAGGATTCCACCAGACTCAAATCCTCCACCCGGAACAAAGGCAATAGCTACCATCCTTCAAGCTGGAGGAGGTCTGCCAGTGGAGCTCATTAATCTTTGGACTGCTGGTGAGCAACACCAAACACTCATTCATAGGGATTGAATGTCTGCTTCTATGCCACACTCAGCCCCTGCCTGCCCATGGGGGCTAGCTCAGGGTGAAAGAACCTTCCCTCTTCCCATGCATGTCTGTTCATGGGCTTTCCACCGGAGCAATCCTTGGGCTACTCAGACTGTAGGGAATGCGAAGACTATTTGTTCCTCCTCAAGAGAGTCAGGGTGCCTAAAAGCTGTTGGGAATGAGGTGGGATCATGGCTTTGTCCCCCTCATACACTGGCTGATAGGAGCAAGCTGCTCCCTCCTAATGGGAGAACCGGATTGCTCCCCAGTTGCCCAGAAGACACCGTCTCTCCAGTGCTGCTCCTGAGGCAGAGCAGCTCCACCCCACCTCCAACGCACGGCAGAGACCCAGATGTCACAGTCTTGCCTGGAGCGAGAGGAAATGCGTCTGAATCACCTGTGAGCCAGCACACTCCAAGGGCACCCTCTTTGACTGTGCCTCATTTCCATGAGGTCACATAGTAAGCGTCCTCACGTGGATGTCCCCTGCACAGTCCAGCCATAGACCAGCTTTCAGTACTGCCATTTGCCCAGGGAGAGGTCACTACGCATAATTGTTCAGCATAGCCTGCAGGGCAGCACATCACATGGGGAGGGGAACATACCCAGTAAAGAACAGATTTTACCAGATCCTTCTGAAGAACGATATCGTTTTTATATGCTGTGCCCTCTTCCATCCACGTGAGAAGAAAGGGCAACCTTCAGTCTGATTATCTACAACTTTCAACCTCCTAGCCCTGCAGTGTATAGAATTTACTCTAAAAATCTTTAGCTTCATCAAGGTGCTTGTTATTAGGTTTGCGGTATTAACCGTTCATTACATCAGTGTTGGAAATTACAGTACCAGTATATGACATCTAGAAAGTGGCCACCTGCAAGGCCCCTTGCACAAGAGTTACGTAATATTGCTGCCATGTTACACACCAGAGGTAGCTGCATTACAGTAGTTGATCTCTCTGTGATATTTCGAAAGCACTTATCACCTCTCCAGGGATGGATTAATGCATAAGCGAACGAGGCATGTGCCTAGGGCCCAATTTTGGGGGGGAGAACCAAGATGGACTTCCTCCACATGTGGGTTGACAGCGCCACATGGGTTTGGCCCAGCTGTCCTTTCGTCACGACGGAGGGATGGCCAGCCCAAACCCGAGTGGTGCAGGCGCTGTAACCCTGTGTGCCAGATGAGCCTGGGTGAGCGTTGGACTAAGGACCTTGCCCTATGTGTCGTATGGGTGAGCTAATCTTACTATGGGAACCTTAACTTATTTCTGCATCCCCTGCCATTTAAGTTGAATTATGTCAACGTACTGTGGTATGAACGTAGGGTAGTCAATGTGTTGTTTTTGGTGTTAGAAGGTAAGGCCCCAGAGGTGTGTTTGCCTAGAGGCCAGTGATGGGTTAATCTGGCCCTGCATCTCCCACAAGGAGCACAGCACTTCACCTACAAAATACGCCTCAATTCCAACAGTTCCAGGGAGTTTTTAAAAGAAGGAACCTGTTTCCTTATACCAAGAAATCCAGAAATAGATACAATTGCCATCCAGATAAAAGATAGGACCAAGGAGGGTGATGAGAAGTTTGCTCTAACGCTAATTTCTAGCAGTGAAGAAAGAGAATTTTTAAAGAAACTGTCCAAAGTGCTTTCGTAAAGCAGTGTCATTAATATTTCTGTGTTGTGCTGCAGGACTGGAGGAGAGCACCCAAGACTGTTGCTGTAGACAAGGCGGTGGCAGCCAAACTCAAAGAAACAAATTTAGCTATCAAATAGATTCCTGTTGCTACCAAGTTCCTGCTCTGTTTTCTACTGTAGCGTGAGAGCTCTGTGTGCACTGGGGGAGCAGTTCTTGCAGAATGCATCTCCATTTTAGAAACGGTTCCCCTGAGCAAATGTTCTGGCTGTTCTTTCTCAAAAGGAGATCAGCACCTAAGGGGTGTTCCCTTGTCCGTACAGTCACTGCAGCTGCTTGTCAGCAATTAACAAGCTGCTGCCACTCTTAAATCAACCAAGTGGTGTATTTTGACATCTTACCCTTCTATTAGAAAGGTAAAGTGAAGGAAGCTGCACAACGCTACCAGTACGCGTTGAAGAAATTCCCCAGAGAAGGGTTTGGAGAAGACCTGAAAACCTTCCGTGAGCTGAAGGTGTCACTCCTCCTCAACCTCTCCCGATGTCGAAGGAAAATGAACGTAAGTTCCACACACTCTTCAAGTCCCTTTAGAGCAAGCTGCCAGCTTCCCGCCTGCGCATAAAGAGTGTGTCTCTCCCATGGTTCTGCTATGGCCTCTGAAATCTCTCCTCTTTGTAACCTGGTTGTCCTTCACAGAGCACTGATATTTACAATTCGGAAGAAGTAAAGTAGTGATTTAATATTCATTTCAAACTATTAAAAATTCATTTCCATGTTTAGAGCTTTCTGAATTTTTTATTACTCCTTTCTGATGACAATATGAATTTGAGGGTGGAGAGGTTAGTATTTCTCTGATTTCCAGGGCAGTGGTGAGGGGTGGAGTCAGTAGATGTGATCATTTGAATACCAATTAATTTGAAATCAGGGCGCTTAGAGAGCTCTCACTTCCCCGGGGCAATGACTCATCCAGAAACACTCTCCCTCCCTCCTCCCAGAACGCCATGTCCCTGTTCTTCCCCCTGCTCTAATTTAGCTGCACATAGAGATAATCTTCTGGAGTCTCTCTGTTCCTCCAAAAGAGCCACATGCCACCTCTCCCCTTCTCTGGATTCTGAGAGCATCACATCTCCACAACCTGACCAGTCTCCATAGATTTGAGAAGTGAAAGTCTTCATCAGACCCAGGTGCTGGCCAGGATTATATTGCAAGGGAGGGGACTTTGTGATGCCTTCATTTCTTTAAGCTGTTGAAGGGGACAGATGAAAGTGACGTGTGTAGTGATCTTAATGCTGGCTAGCAAACAACACAACAATCAGAGAACACTACAGAGATGTTAAACTCATCTTTAAACAAGCCAACTTTCTGCTAAGCCTGCACTTTCAGGGCCAAATTTTCAGCCAAGCCTTAAAACTTGCTCTTTTTTTTTTCTCTCTTCTTTTTTTTTTATTGGCACAGAATTGCAGGGGCATATCATTGCACCCATCATTTAGCTCACATGGACGTCTAAACCATAGATTGCACCGTCAGATAAGTGACTTAGATAGCTGAGTGACTGGAATTGCAGATGCAAACTAAAATCAGTCCTTGCAGACCCACTCTTATCATTTTTTGTGTATTTGGGTGCAGAAATTTGTTTAATAAGAAGCCTTGATATGTTCAAGAAACAGCTAATCAATTTTAAACCAAACAGAAAAGATATTTGAATAAAAGGCAAGTGTCTGGAAATAGAACTGAAATTAAGCGAACTTTCCTCAATGGGTTTCTGTTATGAAGACATGGTTTTCTTAAGATACAAATGACCTGTTTGAATGACTGCTTGGTGCATTATGATTAGTATCGCATGAGCCCAGTACAGTCAAAATCCAAGTCATATTGCCAGTGCATACTTGCCTTGGAACGTTGTATTAACTGGTAAAGTAGCACACAGCTGTGGTTCACAGACGTCCTTTTCAGTATATAAGATCCCAAAAGCTTTTCCAAGTTACACTCGTTAGTGACTGCAGCCAGTGTGCACTGATAAACTCCATTTGTAGCCTAGCGGAGTTCGCCTTGCTTATTTTTTAAGCAAAAAGGAATTGTATTAGACACCATATCCTAGAACTGCTGACTGTTACAGCCCAAAGCCATTGCTAGACATGATGGGCAAGCGGGTGCTGTACCAAAGCCACCCCACTGGGAAGTGGGCACCCTACTGAGTGCTCACATGAGCTCTGTGGCGAGGCACATGGGCAGTAGGGAAGACAAGGTCAAGGGAAGGGTAATCAGGAAGAATTATACCTTAGCCGATAATGTACTATTCATGGCAAGGCCACACACGAGCATTTTAACCAATCTACATTCTGTTCCACCACCTTCCCCATCACCCCCAAGTCAGTGTTTGCTAAGTAGTCCCTAAAGGAGAGGAACAGAGGGAAGTGAGAGAGAGTGCACTGTGAATGGGTCCTGTACATTGCTGCACGTAGCTATATAGGCACCAATATCCCTTTCCTCCCGGAGAAGTGTTATTCACGATCCCTAGTATTAGGGGGGGTGTCAGAGACAGTCACCGGGGGAGTCGGGGGGTGGGGGGAAGGGTTTCCTAATGGTTTCAACAGTGGAAAATCCTTCCTGAGATGACCTTCCAGTCTCTGCGAGAGCAGATGCTTACTGGAGGATGTAGGTTACTGGACAGGGACTGCATGCACTTGATTGGGATCCAAGAGGCAGAGAAAGGAGCAAATTTCACCTTGGGTTAGTGTGGGTGCCGGACAGTGTCTAACATTATGGAATGGGTTTGCCTCTTCTGGACACCGTTGTAGCTCTCTTGCTATCAATGATGTCTGATCCATGTGAAAAGTACCATCAGGTTTTCCAACTCTACATGCAAAAACTTTGTCCATATAATTTTGTTTTGTTCCCAAGTTGTATATATTTTTTTATTTATATATCTATATATATATTCAATTACTTATCTACACACCTATTGTAATGACAGGATTTTGGAATGGCGGAGGAATTTGCCACTAAAGCACTGGAGCTGAAACCGAAATCTTATGAAGCTTACTATGCAAGAGCAAGGGCCAAACGCAGCAGCAGGTGAGGCGAGAGAGAGAGAGAAGTGAGAGGGGCTGTTCTCTGCAAGTCTGGGCACAGCGGTGTAGGAATTGACCATGCAAAACTACATGAGTATCCCTGTGAGAACAAATTGCAAAGGAACATTGATTAGGGCGGCTGTAAAAGACCCCAAAATCAACATCTTCCCTTATTTAGTAATTCCTGTGGAGCACGTTCATGTGAACTTTTGAGAAGCTCATTGTAGTTGAGTTTGTTGGAATATACTCAGCACCTTACATCACTGAAAGCGTCAAATCACAACTGAAAAGATACACTCTAGTTCAACTGCAGCTATTGGACTTGAAGCAAGGATTCATTCATAGAATTGCTATGGCCTGTGTTATACAGGAGGTCCAACTAAACGGTCACAGTGGTCCCTTCGGGCCTAGGAATCTATGAATCCGTCTATCCTAAAGCCTTCTTCTTCTTGGCTACTAGTAGTGCAGTGACTTTGTGGGCAAAGGCCAGCCATTGTGCTTTCAGCAATAGCTCATGCTCCTCCAGACTGGGCGCTAGAATGATGCAATATTGGGATCTCACTACATTTCAGACGCAGCCCAGAGGATTCCCTCATTAAATCTCCCTGAAGGCCCAGGGAGACGAGATCCCTGCAGAACCTGTCAATGCCATTCCTGACCTGGCAGGAGGGTTTGCTTTTGAGTCTCTCCCTCGGGCTGAGCACATTGTCACTGCACAACTGCTAGTCTCTGCTCAGTCAGTGGAGTGAGACACCAATTTTGCCTGCATGGCAGTGCAGAGACTCACCGCTAGCCAGAGGATATTTAATGTCCGTTTGTGTAAACATCAGAGCTGAGGAGAAGACACCGCAGTTTAACCTCTCATCCCAACGACAACACTTTTAACTGTGCGTCTCCCCTAGCTATCACTGCAGGGAGCTCAAGTCTTATGTGGGAGCGAACCCATGACCTTCTCTTCTAGAGACAAGCCCGGCTAGTTGAACCAGACTGACATTTTGTAGCTTTCCTTGAATGTTTTCCTTCTCCACTGGTTGCAAAACATTTACAGACGTTTAAGCCTCAAATGCCTTTTCCAGATGGTTTAGCCCTTTCCTACATACAAGCAGCATTATTTCCCCGTCTCGCTAATGAAACAGGCTCAGCATGGCTCTTTTTGGTTACTTCCTTGTTTGTGCGCCAGCATCACCATTGAGATCAGCGTAGGTCTGGGGAATTCAGTTACCTTACCTGCTCTCCCCTGATTTGGAGTGGGTCTTACCAAAGTGCTGGGAGGCATTTGGGGTTTTTCTTTCTCTATGACGGAGCAGTGAACGGGAGCATTTTATAAAAAGGCACATGTTGAATCTGGAGGCTGTTCGCCGCCAGATCACAATCGTGTTCAAATAGATTCAATTTTGTTCAAAAGCTAACAGTGTCCCTGTAAATGACAACCCACCTCCCCTGAATACCCCATCCCCTTACTCCTCATAGGCTAGCCTTTACAGTGTCAGTCCCAAAGAGCACCTTCCACGGGGGCCTTGCGAGCTTGCGACTGTTGGGACCTCTCCCTGCCTTGTTCCCTTCATCCTGAGGAGACAAACCCAGTACCCAGCAAAGTCTGAGAGGCAGCCTGGTCTTATGCATTGACTGGGGGAACCCCTGAGTTCTAGAGCCACCCCTGCCATTATGTGGCCTTGGGCAAGTCAGAAGAAGCTAAATGGGCCACTGGCATGAGCAGCTGCAGCTCCGTCGACGTGGACAGAGTTGCTCTTGCTTACTCCAGTGGTGGGCTTGGCACAACGTCTGTGCTTCATTTTCCCCTTCCGTAAAGTGGGGACAATCTGCGGACAAAGCTCACGGGGTGCTTTGAGGAGTAATTAATATGTAAAGCACTCTCCAAGTGAAAGGATAATTACCGGGCTGGGTTGTGCTGTCCCAGAAATGTGTCTCCCTCCTCCCCAGAATGACTAACAATGTTTTTCTTTGGTTGGTGTAAAGTAACCAAATGGAGGCACATAAGGCAAAGCTCGAGAAAGCCGCTGTAGAGATCACAGCCTCTCCCTAAGTAAAGACGAGCTGCTTAAGCTCAGTAGAATCCCCAGAAGGCTTCATTCAAATCCAGAGTAACTTCAATTCTCATATCTGTCCCCTTGTCAAGCAGGCAGTTTTCAGCAGCCCTGGAGGATCTGAACGAGGCCATCAAGCTGTGTCCGAACAATCGTGAGATCCAGCGGCTGCTGATGAGAGTGGAGGAGGAATGTAGACAGATGCAGCAGCAGCAGCAACCCCCAGCGGAGCCAGAACCTGAAGTTCAGCACGAAGAACTGTACTCTGTGCAAGATCTCTTTGAAGAGGAGTATCTTGAGCAGGATGTAGAAAATGTTTCCATTGGCTTACAGACAGAGTCGAGGCCCAGCCAAGGGCTTCCCATCATCCAGAGCCCACCCCCATCCCCTGCTCACCGGGATTCAGCCTATATTTCGGGTTCGCCTCTTGGGTCACATCAAGTTTTTGACTTCAGATCCAATAGTTCTGTGGGTTCACCAACAAGACAAGGGTACCAGTCCACCTCTCCTGCTCTGTCTCCAACACACCAGAACAATCATTACAGACCTAGTCCGCCACATACTTCCCCTGCTCACCAAGGTTCCTCTTACCGCTTCAGTCCACCTCCAGTTGGAGGTCAAGGGAAAGAATATCAAAGTCCACCACCTTCACCCCTCCGTAGAGGTCCTCAGTATCGAGCCAGCCCTCCTGCAGAAAGTATAAGTGTCTATAGGTCCCAGTCTGGCTCCCCAGTACGTTACCAGCAAGAACCTAGTGTTAGCCAACTCCCTGGTAGACCAAAGTCTCCGTTATCCAAAATGACACAGAGGTCCTTCCAGATTCCCCAGCTTCCTGTTGCAGTCCCACAGCCAGGGCACAGGCTACAGCCAGCCAAGGCACAGATTGTAAGAAGCAACCAGCCGAGCTCTGCCGTGCATTCTAGTACTGTGATTCCAACTGGTGCTTACAGCCAAGTCGCCCATTCTATGGCCAGCAAATACCAGTCTGCATCAGGGGAAATGGGAGTTGGTCAGAGTAGGTTGGTCTACCAAGGTTCAATTAGTGGAATAGTAGGTGATGGTAGACCAGTGCAACATGTGCAAGCCAGTCTTAGTGCAGGAGCTATCTGCCAGCATGGAGGGCTAACTAAAGAAGATCTTCCACAGAGGCCTTCCTCAGCATACAGGGGTGGAATGAGATACAGTCAGACCCCTCAGATTGGGCGCAGTCAGTCCGCTTCCTATTATCCGGTCTGTCATTCAAAGCTTGATCTGGAACGTTCTTCCCTTCCCTCCAGCCAGCTTGGTTCTCCTGATGTGTCTCACCTAATCAGAAGGCCCATTACTATCAACCCTAACGAAATAAAGCCTCACCCACCAACTCCAAGACCGCTGCTTCATTCCCAAAGTGTTGGCCTCAGATTCTCCCCTTCTAGCAATAGCATTTCATCCACCTCCAACCTGACTCCTACCTTCCGCCCTTCTGCTTCTATTCAGCAAATGGAGATCCCTCTCAAGCCAGCCTATGACAGATCATGTGATGAACTTTCTCCAGTCTCTCCACCTCAGGGGAGTTACCCCAGTGAACCAGCCCGTTCCAGGACCACGCCGTTCATGGGAATTATAGATAAAACTGCTCGGACTCAGCAGTACCCCCATCTCCACCAACAGACCCGGACCTGGGCTGTGTCTTCAGTGGATACTGTTATTAGTCCGACATCTCCTGGAAACCTCCCCCAGCCAGAATCGTTTAGCCCACCTTCTTCAATCAGCAACATTGCCTTTTATAACAAAACCAACAATGCACAGAATGGCCATTTGCTAGAGGAAGACTATTACAGCCCCCATGGGATGCTAGCCAATGGGTCCCGGGGAGACCTCCTGGAGAGAGTCAGCCAAGCCTCCTCATATCCAGATGTTAAGGTGGCTAGGACACTGCCCGTTGCACAGGCCTACCAGGACAACCTGTACAGGCAGCTGTCCAGGGACTCTAGACAAGGGCAGACATCCCCTATCAAACCAAAGAGACCGTTTGTGGAGTCTAATGTGTAAAAGACACTTGTTGGAGTAAGACCCTTATGTTTTCAGCACACGTTTCCAGGCTTGATTCCCACCTATATTTTTATTATTACTCTTATTTCTCTTTGGTAGCTACATGAGCAAGTTTCTCCGGTAATTTCTGTGTGGTGATCAGACAGCCATGCACGCGCTCAGAATCTTTTGGTATCCAGCTGACGGTGAAGCCAACATCAAACAAGCCAGTATTGTTTGCCCAATTCAGACTGAGTTCCCTCCCAGGTTTCAGCTGTCAATCAGGATATGTTAGTGTACCCATGGAGTGGGTTAACCCAGATAGGTCCCCTATGGGAGGTAACCAGCTCTTTGCAAGCGGTCATGTTCAAATCTAATTGGTTTCTTTGGTTTTAAGGAGCTCTCATGTAAAATGCTTATGAAAATTCCTAGTGGAAACTGGCTAAGAATTGGCAGCCTTTTCAAAATTTGCATTATCCGGTATTCCCCTAGACAACCAGAGCCTTCCTCTTCCCACTTGTGTCTTGCCCACAAAGAGCTCATTACCTGCACCAAATGGGGCTTTGTTTGCTTTTAATAACAAGTAGCTATGCATAATAACCGACCTGTTTGTGCTGGTTGTATAGCATTTTAATCTGAATTGGATTGTTTGTTGTTTTTAATAACGTAGCCTCTCGCAATGAGTGGGGCCCATAAGATGCTTTGCTTCTTTGACAGCTGCGTTCCAAATGCCACAGTATTGATTTACGCTGAGGCGTTTTAAAAATATTTAGAGAGCAATCAAACTCTGCCCCTTTTGTGAATTTTAATCGGCCAAAGGAATTGGCTAGAAACCCCTTGTGCATTTTGTAAGCAGAATTAACCACAATCTTTTCTTCACACCTCCAGCAGATGATTGCATCTCACACACACCACCACGTTTTCACCAGGACAGTTTAATGGTTTTTCATTTTGCTGGCAAGGAAAATTTGAATAGGAAAACCTTAATGGAGGAAGAAATCTAAAATCTTTTTTTGATCATGCTGCATAACGTGACATGGAGGTTTCCAAGCCAGAAAGTGTCCAAGGAGTCACTTTAGTAAAGTCCTTCTGAACACACAGCCTTGCCTTGCCATTTCCTTTGTGTTTGCACCTACTCTTTGGAAGCTGCGTGCGGTAGTGAGGGGCTGCCCTCCTCTAAGGGATTAATGAGTAAAATGTGTGTCTCTTAGAGCTGCAAGATTTGTTCCTGGAATTTTGGAAGGCGGTTGCTGTGTTCCATACCTGTAAATGTTAGAGACAATGTTTGGCTCTTTAAGGACCTGTAGTTAAGAGAGAGATATTTATAATTAATTTATGTGATCGATTTCAGGAAAATGTTTTTGTTTTGGTCTGGTTTCTTTCTTTTTTTTCTTTCCAATCAGATGCTACTAGTGTTGAGTCAGTGTGAAAAGCAGGGGACATTTCCGAAAACCATTTTTACAGAACTGTCCAAGCATTTTCTGGAGTTTTGTTTGCGTAGAGGGAGCTTTCTTTGCATAGGTTTGATTTATTGTTGGTTACGTTTTTAAGCAGCCTTTTCAGTAACTGAGGGCAAACAGCCAGGTGGATGGGAGGAGCAGTAATATTGTAGCTTGTTTTAAAGCAAAACAGTGCCTGTTGCCCAGTATTGCATCTCACATCAATTCTTAAAAAGGGAATTGGTCCTTAGAAAGAGTTAACGCTGTTTGTTTCCAAAGGGCTACGTGAATCTAGTCATACAAGGAAACATTCATTGAACCAAATTAAGGGCAGATCCTCAGCTAGTGTAAATTGGCGTCACTCCGTTGTGACCGCAACACAGCTACGATGTTTTAAACCAGTTGAGGATCCAGCCCCAAAACTCTTAGCAAACCCGGGCTTCGATGAGCTTTTCACTTGTGTGGAGCTGTAAAGTGATCAGCACCATTTGTTGTAATTTCACTTCTTAGACCAAACTGAGTGGCGCCACGCTTGGGACAGATCGGGTGTGTGTCTCACTGACAGATGGAAAGTACTCTTGATTTTGCATCTGTGTTCTTTGGGGATTACGTTTCTTCCACTCGGATATTTGTGGGACACTTTTATATTTCTCCAAGACAGTCTTTGTATTGGAGGTTTGTTTTTTTCCCCAAGGGGCAAGAAGGTGCAAGTCAGAATTTTCTCCCTTTGCTTTACGACAGGGATCTCTCCCAGTTACCTGTGCCTCCTTCCCAACACATTTAGACTGGGCCACGAGGAAAGGAAGCTGCATGCACTATTTCTGTCATTGAAAAGGAACTGACCAGTATTGTTTCTCTCTTTTTTAAAGTGTGTTCTACCTTATAAGGAGCAACTGATTGTTTGAATCTCCCTACAGTGCACCAACCTAGCTAGACTGTGTCCATTGATTTTATTTTAATAGCATCTTGTTTTTATTCAAAGCCCCGTCTTTCTTGAACAAATGAATGGCTTTTTAGCGTCAGTAGTTTCTTCTGAAAGGAAAAAGTAATCACATTTTACCCCGTCCCTTTTTTATATACAGTTAAGTGAGCCATGCTGCTGCCATAAGCCAGTCATCTCTAATCTTATTGTTAAGAGACTCCAAACTGGATGATCCTTGTCGAAGAGAACGCCATTGTAATATCTCTGACTGTGCTTTGCTTTGCTAGTCACTGCCATGTGAGTCCAGTACTGTACTTTAGAAATGTCCCCTAAAAGCACTTACATGTACAACTTCGGGTTTATGAAGATGTTTTAAGGAGAAAAAAAAAACCAGTTCACACTTTAACACTAATACAAAAATGAAACAACGCTTAAATACTGTAGCGTGCAGGGTTTTTTTCCACAGTATCATGTGTTACATTTTCACAGGATTCTTGCACTAATGGTTTACCATCTGTTCTCTCTGTAAATGGGTGCACTTTACTGTTTGAATTTGTTACTATGATAAATACTGGATATTTAAGCGTGAGTAGTGTCTTCATTAGAAAATAGCAAAACAGCTCTTGTCTCAGTGTATTTTTCAAAAAAGAAAAAAGAAAAAAGAAATGAAGCAATGAATCATACCATTTATAGCACAAGAACTAACTGTTGTATATAAGCATCAAAAGATTGAGTAATTTTTAAATACAAAACTATTTGCAGTGATTTTTAAAGCGCTTCCCCAGCAATTTTCTTAGGACACCTGAGGGATATTTGTTTCTTTAGTTACTGGATCGGTAAGGAACACATGTCTCAATTGAAAATCAATAAACAATCGTGTGTATCTTCCAAGTCATAATTAGTATCTGGCATGGCCATTAGTTTGTATTTGCTGTCATATTTTGTCTCGGTTGTAGAGTACACTATCTAAAGGCAACTCAATAGAGCACAAGACTGAAATTTCACTTGCTGCCCCTTCACTCCTTCAGGTTAGATGCATATCTTGTAAGCTTGTCTGCTGAGGAAGGTAGGACAGTACTGGACCGTATCCCCGGCTGGTGTCAGGATTTCCAGGCAGGCTATACTTAGATCCTGTACATTTCTCTGTTGGACTAATTAAGACTACCAGCATTGCCCCCCCCCCCAACCAGCACCCCACCAGGAGCTACGTAATTTGAGACTGCCCTCAGAAGTAGGATTCTTCAGGTGCACCAGGTAAAACAGTTTCTTGATGCCTGTGTCAAGACCCCAAGAATGTTTTCCTTGGAGTGTAGTCTGGGGGGTATTCCTAAACAAATACTTGTAACCAAACTAGCCACTAGATGTCACTGTGACTCCACACAGAGTCACCTTGAGAGGGCACTGAGTATTGAACGGAGCTAGAATTTCTATCCCAGCTGTGAGGATCGGGATTCACCAGCTGGAAAGACTACACTCAACCCCAGCTTTGTGTGTGGCTCCACAGTGATCACTACAAGCCAGCTTAGGAATGGTACTGGAGGGTTTGAAGATAGTGGTTAGTGGAGGGAAGGGTTCAAGGAGTGAGGCCCTTGGACCCATCTCAGAGGGAGAATAAGCTGGACAGCCTGAGCTGTACCCCCTTCTTCCTTACATTACTGGGTGCAGAGAAATGCTGTTGTGTAGGTGAGGACTGGGCCAGTTGCTGGCTGACCTGGACTGTTGGAATCACATGCACGGTAGCTTAGGGGAGTTTTAGTTGAAGACTGGGCCTAGAATTTGCTTTCTTTAGAAGTTTTTGTGCACATACATAAACCATCATTTCGATTAAGTAAGTCCTGGCGAGGGTGGCTGCTAAGTACCAGTAACTCAGTGCCCTAGTACAAAGATTATTGTATCTTCAGGGCTACCCTGAAGAAGTCTAGCGAAAACCGAAGTGCCAGCTACGCCTTACTTAGAGCACCAAGCACGCCTGCTAGTTTTTTACCTTCATTGCTAAGGTGGGTCCTTGCTGATCTGTTGCAAGCTCTTTGGTTGTCGTCATTTTTCCTTTGGACGTTCCAGACAATTCATCTACCACGATTACTGATCTTTAAACAAGGGCTTAGGGTAAGAGCTACTGTATCTACTGTGCAGTGTCGCAGAGACCTCCATAGCAAAATGCCTTTACTCACTTCTGGTTGCTCAAAGGAAAATGTGGTGGGGATGCATGTGGACACAAGCACAATGGTGAAGGTGGATCTGCTTTTTCAGAATTACTTGAATAATTGATGGACTTTTATTCACTCAAACTCTTTTTCTAATACAAACCACTAAGGGCTGAATTATTTAGCAAGATTCATTTGTGTGCAACGCCTGACAACAGCTGAATCACACTGGAACCTTTTACTGATGTATACACGAAACCCAGGAGAAAACAAAACGAACACAGTCAGCGCTATGAAAGGGACTGGACACCAGATCAGTACACTGTATCCTTTATATTCTACCAGCCATTCGGTTGCGCTCATGCCACTTAGCAGTTAACAACCTGAACTGCAGCTTGGCCCGGCCCTTTTACGCTCACTGCTCGGTTACGAAGGCGATGGGGATTGGCCACTGCTAGAACACAGAGTCTTGTTATGGGTTGGTGGGAAAGCCTCAAGCCCAGAGAGGTAGGTCACGTTAGCTACAGTATGCCTTGGTGGGCCCTGACATGCCAGACAAACTGGGGGAATCACTCTGTGCTTAGGTCCATTTTGCCAATACATCAATAACCTAGAGATTCCAATGTGGTCGCTTCCAGCAGTGACGGTGTCATGTCTGTCCAGCATTTTATTGTCCGTAGTATTACAGCATTTTTGTCTCTGTTCCGTCTGCTCCACTTTCAAGAGGATTTGAATTAGTACAAAGATGTACAGTATATACACCTTGGATGATTTGTACTAAATAAATAGTACTGTTTGCCATCCTTCAAGACACTTGCTGGGAAGATCTTTAAGACACTTAATTTTCCTTTAGCTTTTCTATAACTCTGATGTAAAGGACTTTCTCTGTACAGTATATTACTCAATGCATGTTCTGTTCTCTCTACGGATATATTGAACACGACACAGTTGTGATATTGTGCAGGGGGAAGGCAACTCCTGCACTCAGCTGAGGCCCTCAGCCTCTAATGTATAAGGAAAGAAAAACTATTTTTTCCTTTGCTGTATTTGCTTGAGCAGAGTTTTCTTGTCTGTACATGTGAGCTGTGAGATAGATGTGAAAAGTTCAACCGAATGCATTTGCCCCCATGTATACAGATTGTAATCTGTACAATGACCTGTACGTATGAAAAAAAATGTACTTATTTATAAATGGTTAACACTTGGAAAGAGAGTCTGGCCTGGTGTTTGCCTCATTGCTGCAGCGTGAAATTAAGAGCATTCGATTGTGTCTTAGCAGAGCCATACAGAGATGCAACTAAAGAGCATGGTGCTCTCTACTGATGGAGCCTGGGTGCACCCAGTTCTTGTATGGGGGTGGGGTAAGTCTGCCCCCTCTTGTCATTCCTGCTGGATGCAGGAGAATGGACCAGTCTCTTCCTAAGCATGCCACTGCCTTGAACCACCTACTGCCTGGTAGACGAGATTTCTCCCCAGCAGAGCAGCTTGTATGTGGAGCACACAGGCTGCCTCCGTCGTCTTGTACCAGTTCCACTACTCCCCCAAGAGGAAAAGGCTCATTCCAGCACCCTGAGCTGTTGATAAATAACATGACCTTGACTAATAGAAAAATGGCATTGCAAGGGAATTTAGGTGAGCACCTAACCCAACAGTCCTTCTGAGCCTCAGCTAAAACACAGCCACTCGTGATTGGCAGCTGCGTAGTTAGAACAGATTTTTGTTGGACTAGCCGGCTTCCAGCAACCCTGCAGAGCACCCGAGCGTGGGGTGCACGATGCTAGTGGGAATGATGCTTACCACAGCTGGAGAACTGCTGCCTCAAGGTATGTAGAACCTCAGGGCCCCTGCTGTGCTGCAGCCCTACTGGCTGTTGGGCTGGGAAGCATTGAGTGACTGCACTTTAGCAAACCCCCTTTCCAAAGAGAGCAGTTACAGCCCATTGCCCTGCTGGTACCTCCACCAGGCAGCACCTTGCTCACACACCACAGCATGCGAGTCGCTCTCTGTCTAGCTGGGCAGGAGAGGTATTTTCTGTATTCGCCCCTCTCGTTTGAGCCAAACGGCCTCTGGCATCCTTAAAGACAAGGGCAGGACCTGCACAGGGGCAGTCACATGGTTAAGCACTGCACTCCGTGCCGGATCACGCGGTGATGTTGGGCACAAGTTATATGGGGCCAGATTATTAAACGGTAGGTAGGTGGGTTATATGCATGTTTAGGCATCTAGATGCCTTTACAAATCTGGCCCTTAAACTAAGCCTGAGCCTCTCAGGACCAGGCACTAACTCACACACCCAAGCGACGTGGGCCTTAATTTACGTATTTGCTACAGCTTCTCAGCGGTGATAGATACGTCCTTTACTGGAAGCATGCAATGAACGTGAAGTAATCAGACCGCTCAATCTGTTAGCTCTGGCTCCAAGATGACCCGAGGAGTTGTGCTTACTTTGGCCAGCTAGAAAGAATATAAAGAGTGGCCCAGGCTAGTTACCAGGATTTATTGACTCAGGTGCAGTACAGGCAAACAGAGTTCAAACAGAGACTGTTTAGCGCAGCATTTCATTAACATGTTTTTTCCTTACTAGCATTTATGAGCCACCAGCATAATGCGCTGATTGCGGCTCCTTCGACGCGGCTTTAAAGATCATTTGGTTTTAAAACAGCCTAGAAAATATTCGCCCATGTAAACATTAGCTGCAGCATTTGGGGTCAGTTCAGGAATATGCATTTGGCAGAGGAGAGGTTTCTGCAGTACAAGAATCTGCTGCAAATGCCCATCGCTGGCAGGCATTTTTCCAGGGGACTTTACACCCTCTGTTTGATACAAGCTTTTTTTTTTTTTTTTGGCCGTGAGAGATGAGTGCACTGCTGGGAAGGGAAACACGGCCCTAGCAGGGTGTTACTTTTCTGAGCAAACCGTACGGAGTTGGCCAGTTGTTTTTCAGACTAAAGGAACTTGCATTGGTTCTCCTGAGAGACAAGATCAGCCCAAAAAGTGGGTGAAATCCTGACTCCACTGAAGTCAGGGGAGAGAGAATTTCAAACACTGGCCAGAATAGTTTTGCACAGTTTTTTCTGCACGCACCACACATTTGCTCCCCTTTTCTTCCCAGAGTCGGGACAGGGGATGACTGCTGTCTTTCAAAAACCGGGCAGGCGCCCTGGCAGTGTTAGCAGACGCGCTAGCCAGATCTCGCTCACTACAGAAGTTCCAAACGGACGTTTCTTTAAGTGTGTCTCTGGCAGTGGAAGTAAAATGTGAGCGGAGGTTTTCACAGGGGCCTGGTGATTTTGGGGGGCCCAGCTTGAGTGCTGAGGTAAACAGAGCCAGCATCACGCCAGAGGCCCAGCCCCTCTCTGCTCAGCAGGGGGAGTGTGAAAGGGAGGCAGTGGTGGGAGTGGGACAAGCAAACCCTCAGCTCAAGCTTTATCGGGCTCAGGTCACTTTAGGGGAACGAGTCAGAATCTGCACTGAACACAGGCTGGGGAAATGTTTACAACGAGAATCAGCAGCCACATGATAAAGTTTTTCTGGGTTTACAAACAGTATCTGCTAATTAACAGCTCAGGCACGGCTGTCAAAGCTCCTCCCCCCAGCAGTTATCTGCTAGAGCCCACCTGTGCCCCAACAACTATTTTTCTGCATATAAAAGCCAGGGCTGGTGTGAAGGGGCCCTGCACTCTCTCTTTCACTCCTGTGCAGGACAACTTTGGCTTTCTGCCCAGGGCCCTAATGCCGAGCATGCTTGGCAGACCCCCTGAAACAGGAGTGGTGTTCAACCTGTGCTTTGTGGCCACCTGGGGGGCTGCAAACTATGGCTAAGGGGGGGCCATGTCTCCATTTGAAATGCTTTAGGTTGAACACCGGTGTTGTAGAGTGAAGCGATGGTGTTACAAACAAGTTGGCCAGGGTACAGCTGTTATCGCAACACAGCATCCTGGACCACCAGGGAGCTGGGTGTGCTCTAGTAACAGTCAGCGGGGGAGGGGTGTGTGTGCTCTATTAAGCCGGCAGGGGGGGGGGGGGGTGCTCGACCACCCGTTGAGGAAAGCATGGCTAGAAGGCTCTCAAGGCGTTAGTCTGCTAACCTCGACCCCATGCACCGTTCAGCCAGGGGCTGCCACGCTCTGCGTACAAAGCTGCATTGGAGAGTGGGGCTAGTCCCTGATTCAGTCATGCAAGAAGGGAATATTTAACAGGTGATCAGTGCAAAGACCCCGCAGGGAGGCGAGGCCTTTGCTGCAGTATCACTAGGCACCAGCACTGCCTGTCAACACCTGAAGTCCTGCAGCTGCTTACAGAGACGAGCAAACAAAGGAGTAGATGGGAAAGTTTTGCATTTTAGATGTTAAGAAAAGCCACTGGCAGCTGCCCAGGGGTCACTCGTGCGGACAGGGACTGTGCTCCCTGCAGTGAGAGCTGGGGGGAACCAGGCCTTTACTTGAACATAATTTTAAAAAAATTCACTGCCCCTCCAGTCACTAGACCTTACCAACCCTGCATTTCTGCTCTGCTCAACATCAGCTGGCTGAAGCGCTGCCTTATCTCAGCAGAATGGAGCTGGGGCGGCCCCGTCAGGAACGAGAGGCACCAGGGATGAGGATTTCTAAAAACACTGATGTCTAGGCTGGGTTTAAGGGCCGGGGGGGTTATCTGACCCGGGGCAGACAGCAGCACATGTACATGCCCCCCCCGCTGACTGATCAGAGAGAGGTGCTGCTGCCAGCAGGAGGCTGCAGACGGGTTAGCACAAATACCAAGTGCTCATTAAAAATACCCTAGCCCGAGAGAGACAAAAAGCTTTGCATGCAAGTGAGGGCGGGTTTAAAACCAGGGTCCTCGAGGACTGGGTTTGGCTGCCATGGAGCGTGGTGTTAGACACACCGCTTGGCATTCTGAGTGAACTCGAGGAGGGAGAAGTCGTCAGTGCAGGCAACTGAAGGAGCGAGCCAGGCCCTGACCTTCGTCCACACTTGAGTTAGATGTGTTAGTGGGCCTCGAGCTAACTTGCCAGACAGGCTGGGAAATGGAAGTGCTGCCGTCCTGCTGCTTGAGGGGCGAGGGAGCCAACCCCCGCCCAGCAGCTCAGCCAGCCGGGAATGCCCCTGAGCCTGGCACATCCAAAGCCCATCCCCCATGATTTGGGTGGCAGGGGAGTGGCCATGGATGGCATAAGGGCTCAGTGGGAGAACATGGCACAACCCAGTGTCCCAGAGCGACATGATGCCTATTACCAGGATGGGGCTGGGAGCTGCCGCATTGGCACACAGCTCCCCTGCAGACAGGGGGTCAAAGCAGATGCCCCCCCCCTCGCACCAGCTGTATGCGTAACAACCAGCAGGTGGCAGAGAGGTCACAGCAACACCAACACACCAGCAACAGACACCGGAGGGGCTAGTACATGCAGGAGTGAGCAACGACCACAAAGTCCACCCCCGCCCTGCCTCTGGGGGGAGCTCCCCAGCCAGGGAGCCATCACTGGCTGCTGCTGGGGCTCTCCCCTTTAGTGAGGGTTTTAAAATCCATGGACAGGGCCAGCTCCTCAGCCAGGGGCGGCCGCTTCCACTCGTCCCGCGTCAGGATGTAGCCGATCACCAGGCCAAAGACGATCAGCAACAGGCCCAGGACGTTGGCCAGGATCCCTTCAGGCACGAACGAGCTGTAGGTGGCCCTGCGGGAGCAGAGAGGGGCTGCGCTGAGAACAAGGGTTCCCTCCGCCAGAGGAGGAAAACGTCTGCCCTGCCGCACACGTGGTTCCCTGCGGTCCAGCCCAGACCACGGTACCACGCTTCTCCCACCCACGGCCCAGGAAATGACACCCAACCTTCCTGAGCCTGCAGTGGGCGGCCCACAGCCCCCTATGGCCCTGGGAGTGTTTCCTCTCCTCTGAGGCCACGGCCAGAGGCAAGAACACATGCTAAGGGTCTGATTGGAGATGGGCCCCAAGAAATGCTCTCCAGCTACTTTGCTGCCTGTTCTAACATGGGGGGGGGGGGTCACGCTCCCCGTCACAGCGGCAGCATGGGTGAATGAGCTGCAGAGCCACAGGGAGCCAAATCTGCATGTGTTCGAGGTGCTGGGGGGAGGAGAGGGACAGGGTCTTGCCTGCCGTGGGAAGGGCTTTGAAGTGCATTTGGGGCCTGGCGTTCGCTGACAGCGGACACCGCCCCGCCTGCACATGCTCGAGGGATCAAGCCAAGAAGGGGGTTGTGTAATTTGCACTAGCCCTGGAGAAAGGACACCCACGTCCATTCTCCCTTTCAGAAACAAGCCTGGAAAACATTTCAATTTACGTTTTCTAATGGCAAACGTTCCAGGTGAAAGATTTCCAGCAGCTCCAGTCATTAGGGCCCGTGGCTCAGCCCCCAGCTGAGCCTCCGGCTATTTTTGCCACCGAGGCCGTTGCCTTTGAGAAAAGTCAGATTTGCCCGCTGAGGGCCTGAACCAGCCCCACGTTTACGAGAGGTGAGAGCCCTCACACTGAGGGAGGTTCGGTGATAGGACTGAAATCTGGGTCCGGCCAACCCATTCACTCCATTTCCCTGGGAGGTGCCGGCCTGCGGCAAGGGCGTCTTGTTTCTAAACTCCCGGGGGCCGCTGTGAATTGCAGCCCAGATGCTTCCGGCACTTACTGGATACTGAAGAGGAGCAGCTCCTTGATGCCCAGCAGGCAGGTGGCGATGGAGAGAACGAGGAGGAAGACGCCGAAGAAGACGTGCTGCGGTTTGTATCTGCTGCGGAGCGAGAAGGATGCTCCAGGAAACAGGAAGAAGCTGAAGCCCATGAGCCACTGGAGGGGAAGGAGAAAGTGCAGAGGGGCTGAAGGGCCCTTTCCCTGCAGAGCCCAGGCTTCCCACGGGAAGTTGGTGTTATTACAACAGGCCTCAGAAGTCGGAGCAAATTAGCTCCTGGCCCGGCTAACCCAAGACTGGTGATCGTAGGCTAGTCCAGGCAAGCCCTCCTCAGACGCTGCCTGCAGCCAAGATACAGAGACTGGAGATTCAAAATGAACCCGGCAGTCCTGACCCCCAGCCCCTGCTCTAACCACTGGAGGACTCTGCCTGTCTGACTGCAAGGCAGGACGCAGCTCTCCCGAAGGGCACCCTCCTCCTCCTCACCTGGATGAAGTAGAGGCTGAAGGCTGCTATTCCACACCAGCTGTGCAGGCTGTACATGTCTGCAAAGCCTTTCTTCCTGTGGTAATCGAACACGGCGATCACCCCTGCAGGGATGGCAGGAGGCGGCCGGTTAGGGCTGGGGCCCATTCGTTAGCCCGTTCGCACCCACACCGCACTCAGGGATCCAGCCTGGACCCGCCACCCAACCCAGCACGGGGAGCAGAGCCCCAAACCGCAAAGGGCTCTGCTCTGGGAGCCTGGGATGATCTTTTCCTTGTAACAGAAGCGGCTGGATTGAAAAGCCTCTCTGGGCAGGATGCCGCTGACCCAACCCAGCGGCCTTAGGGGCATGGGGACGGCCACGCGGGTCCTTCCGGGTCACCTTTCCACTGGGGCGGCCGAGACTCACCCACAAGGGCGATGAGCAGCGCGAAGGCGTGGAGGAGCCCGTGGAGGATTTTGGCTGAGCGCTTGGTCTCGTTCCTGAAGACCCGGTAAACCAGGAGAGCTGGGGGAGAGAAACATGCGTGAGAGGCAGTGGGGGTGGGCAGGGAACAGCCTCCTCGGCTCTGCAGCCCAGAGCAAAGGGAACCTTCCCCAGACCAGGTGGGGTCCCGGGGCCCCGAGGACGGGGAGAATCGGCACTAAAACGAATGTGTCAGAGCCGCTGGAGGCAGGCAGAGGGTGACTCATGCTGACGGGAGCGCTAAGCACTTGCTTGTTCTCCCAACTGCCTTTTCCAAATCTAATTTGCTACAATTAATCTTTTCTGTAAGCCCCAGGGGCTGTCTGGGGGCACCTGCTGATGCACTTTCCCCATCACGGCTCTGTACAGCCGCAATCAGCTCTCTGCCCAAGTGGCCGTCTGGGAGACGATTCCTGCCCCCGGCTCTGCACAATTACATTAGTGCGAAACGCAGCAGGGCACAACGCCGAGCTCCCTTCTAAGTGCTCTGCCGGCCGCGGGTTTGGGCCACGTCAGCTCCGCTCCGCGGAGAGCGGGAATCTCACCACCCGCAGGAGGCTGCACTGTCACCAGAGACTGGGGTGGGCGGGGAGCTGGTAGCATCCTACTCCGGCACCCGAGCAGAACGGTAAGTACCTCGTACTGAAGCAACCCAGTGCACCTGTTACCCCAGCTCCAGTCCCCATTGCTAACACCGGGGGACAGCTTTGTCCTTGCCCAGGTTGGCTACCTGGACCGAGTTACCTTCTTAGTGTCAAAGCCCTAATACTGCTGAACCGCAGCCGAGCAATGGGAGGCATTAAGGTCATGATTCCAAGCCAATTACTCCCATGGAAATCAGGAGTCACTCCATTAAGGCTGCACCAGACACACGGAGACTTTCCAGCAAACAGCTGGAGGTAGCTGTGTGATCGTGGCAGTGAAGGGGTCATTTCCAGCACTGCTCAGGAGCCTGGCTGAGAGGTAGGTAGCATTTTGAATGCTCTTAGCCCTTCAGCAATTCAACATCAGGATCCTAGCTTACCATCCCCTTGGAGGAAGACCATGCCAATGACCATGCAGAGAGGGTGGACATTGAACTGCAGCACGCTTTCCCAAGCAATACCGCCCCGGTACTGGCCCATCCAGGCGCCGGTCATGGCGATCACAGTCAAACCTAACAGCTGAGAGACTGCCATGTACCAGGAGAGCCCTGCTGGGCTCGCAGGCCTGGTGAGACCGTCCTCCATGCCAGGCGAGGCTAGGGACGCTCCTGGGAGACAATCTCAAACTGCAAGAACAAGGAGAAAAGTGATCAGCGTGGCAACCCGACGGCACGAGGGAGACACACCCAGAGGGAGGCAGGCTGGGTACTGTGTCTACACTGCAAAGACAAACCCAGAGCACAGGTCAGTTGACTCCGGCTCGCAGGGCTTGGGCTGCCGGGCTGAAAATAGCAGTGGAGTCCATTGTTCCAGGCTCAGCGACTCAGGGCCGTGGGGCTTGATTGCAGTGTAGACGTAGGCCTGGGCTAGGATTCCCCTGGGGGTGGATTTCCTTTTAAAGAACTAGAAGGGAGAGGGCCAGAAACAGCTCTGCCAAACTGGCCAGTCAAGTCGTTTTCACTGAGCTTAGTGGCAGCTTTCAGTGTCTCCCCTCATTGGGCAACACTGCTCCAGCCCAGACCTGCCTAGATACAGACAGAAGTTTCCTGGTTTGCCTACAACCAGTCAGGGGCTAATCACAGGGCAGGGTTAGCTTGGGGTGTTATAATGATCTCTCAAATCCACACCTGGTACAACAGGTTTGGCTGGATAACTTAGCACAGGCGGTGGCCACAGTCACGGCTAAGAATTAATAAGATGAACAGACGTCCCTTTCCTTACCCACCACGGGGTCCTTCCCAGAGCCTTCCCTTTAAAAAAAAAAATCTCCATTTTATCCTCACTGGGAATACTCAGACCTTCTCTCTCCAGCTGATGCCCCAGTGTGTTATTTATATTATAAATTCTTTGGGGTCAGGAAACCGCTTATTTTTGTTCTGTTTGGACAGCAGCTGGCACAAAGTGGTTCTGGTCCATGACTGGGCTCTTCTGTACTACTGCAGGGAAAGATGTTAACATGACTCTGGGTTTGTAAAGCATTGTATTAACGGGTCTGACGGGTAGCCAGCTCTTGAGATTTTATCACGAGTCTTGCAATTTGGTGATTTTCTTAAAGGCCAGCTCCTGGAGTCGGGTGTGAGAGAATCACCGCTTTCTTTTACAAAAGCAAGTTTGCAGCACACATCGTTGCAGAGAAAAACTTGAAACCCTGAATCCTAAAGGCTCAAAAACCAGACAGCAGATAAAGCAAACTTTAAAATAAAAAAAACATTAAATGAGGAGATTTAAGCCAGTCCAAGGTGGATAAAAAGCAATACATTTTTGGGAGGAAAAAAAAAAGAAAATCAAAAATTTGGATTAAATTGGATATTTTATTGTTATGTAAATGATAATAAATTTCTCTATTTTTAAAAATAAACCTGTTTAAACCTAAATCGGAGTTTAAATTCAAAATATGTTCAGGCCTAAACTTATTATAATCTCTCAAAACATTTAAATAAAAAATGAAAATGCTGAATCCAGGAACCTCTATCAAAAACTTTGCGGAAAAGGCGGCTTTTCTAGATAAAGAAAGAATTGGGGGGGAAAACATCTAACTTTTGAGGTCAAGCTTTAGGAATATGGCACAATAGGTCATGTACTGTATTAAGGGCTTGCTCCTATGGGGGACCCAGGGTGCGAGAGACTGACAAAGTCATCACAGGCGTTGGGGCCTGGCCTCTGACTCCAGGAGACACCATCATGTATCTCATCAAGTTCAACTTCCTATTTTACAGCTTCCCCCTACCTGAGCTCTGCGTGGCTCAGTTCTCAAATTATGACAACTCCACCCACCCTGGAAACACTCTCCAGCCCAGGGGAAATCACTGATGGGCCCGGTGACTACCAGCCCTTGCTTTGGATGGCGTCCGCACGTCAAGTAAATGGCCTTGCTCTGTCTCCTTGCATGCGTACACAGAGATACAAACAGAGAAATCTATTCCTTTCTCAACTGCCTCCCTCTGTCTCTAAACATATAAAATTCTGCAGGGCAACAGGCATGTGGGTTACACGAGCAGACGTCTTGGATTGTTGTTAGCTCTGTTTTTCTGGGGTTAGGGCCAGGGCAGGGCTGGGCAGTTATGGAACTAGGGAGAAGGAGCAGAGAATGCACCCAGAAAGGAGGAGCAACCCCGGTGTAAAGGCAGGACACTATGGGAAGAAGGGGCAAAATTCTTTGGAGTCCTGCGTTTGAGCTCTAACTTTGTCGCTGATAATGTGGACACGTTGGAACAATCTGGATCAGCTGGTGAGTAAACGCATTTCCCCCCCATTCTTATGGACCGCCTGGCATGTCTTACTAGGCTAGTAAATGAGAGCTTAGATTAATGTGGGCAGTGGTGGTGTAGCCACAGGTCTTGCTAACAGACTGTCATAAATGTGTGTTTTGAGTGGAAAATTTACTTACGAATTTCCAAGGATAAAGGGTATGTTAGTTTGTTGTGGGAGTACTTAATTACATTTTTACTGCTAACGCTGCACTTTGGAAATGACTTTTTGTTGCTCAATATAATGAAACCCCTTAGATGAAGTTTTCCTATGTAAAAGTAAAACTTTATTAGGCATTTATTAATTTTAACACTTGAAAGTGTTTTTCCCCCCCGAAGCCGTTTGGAATGTTACTAGAGATAAGGGTTTTAATAGATTTAGCTACAGCCAGGCCTCGATTTACACGGTGGTTATGTTCTTGAACAAACACTGTGCAAATAGAAATCGTGTAAAAAGATACCAAGGGTCTATGGGAAATAAGGGTTTAGGTTCCAGGCTCACAAGATGACCTCCCTAATTTATCCCATACTGTACAGATTTTATTTAAAAAATGTAATGAAATTTAAACTTGCTACTAACCTTTACTGATGTTGAGGATAAATTTGACATGATAATGCTGATGTTGAAGTCAGAACTCCGAGGGTTCATCTGGGGTGTCTGGGGAGGCCGGGGAGCATAGATGCAGGAGGGATGGGGCAGGAGGAATTGGGGCTGCCTCCCCTCACCCTCCCCCCCAAGCAGGCCTTGCAGGGGGCAATGGACAATCTGACGCGCAGCCAGGGAGTAGGGTCAGGGTGCGGGGGCTTGCCTCGCTCTGCCCGCCCAGCGCTCCAGCCAGGGAACAGAGTCCTGGTGCAGGGGCTCGCCCCACTCCACCTGCCCAGTGCTCCAGCCGGGGAGTGGGGTTGGGGCGCAGGGCTTACCCCATTCCACCCGCCCGGCATTCCAGCCGGGGAGCAGGCAAGCCCCCATGCCCCGATCCCGCTCCCCAGCTGAAACACCGGGTGGGCGGAGCAAGACAAGCCCCTGACCCTGCTCCCTGGCTGGAGCGCCAGGCAGGAAGGCAGGCAGAGCGGGACAAGTCCCCACGCCCTGACCCCGCACCCTGGGTCCGCGTCTGGGGTGGGGTGGGGGCCCTGGCCGAGTGTCCATTGCCCCCTGCAAGCCTAGCTGAAGGGGGTGATGAAGGCGACCCTGATCCCTCCTGCCCCATCCCTCCTGCCTCCCCTCCCCCGCCATTGCCTGCCCGCCCACCCACCCGAAGTCCGGGCCCCCCCCAAGTGTCCCATCCTGGCTACGCCACTGATCTACACATCTTGACAACTATGCTGCAGCGTGTAAAAGTGAATCCATACCATGTACAAAAATAAAGGGTCACAATTTATTGACCATGCATAACGGGCACCGTGCAAAAAAATACCCTGTAAATCGAGGGCCGACTGTAACCATTGTTTTCCTTATAAAAATGGATTTAGAATAATTTTTTTCTTTTAAACTTTTTTCTTTCTTTTTTCTTTTTTCTTTGGTACAAACAGCTGCAGTAAGAGGAATATTTCATTTACAATCTCTATTTTTTTTAAGTAGTGCACTGAATAATACTCAGTGATTAAGTGACTTTTTTTGCCATTTTGTTCAGTGTCCACCTCAGACATTCGGGGTTCTGAACATATGCCACCATCTGCAATACATACAACTTCAGAGTCATCTGCGGTCCCACCACCAGTGCTGCAACTACACACGTCAGACAGTAAATTACCTCTATTAAAAAAAAAATCTTCTTCAGCCAATAAATCCATGGCTGAGTTCGTTATCAGGACCAGCAAATTTCAGCAAGCGATTAAAAGATTGCTCAATTCACTTATATAACAGATTCTCCCTTTCATTTTGTTCAGAACAAACTTTTCATTGAATGGTTCGATCGTTACAGGCCGAGCAGACATTGCTGGAAGGATCCTGGATACAGTGTCCGAGAAGGAAGTTGAACCGCGTGCAAAAAACACTGACAGGAAATTCATTAATCTGAGTCTTGACGGGTGGAGCAGTGTACGGTGCTTGTGTGACAGACATCCCATATTGTGTTATCTAACAGAAACAATACATCAGGAAATGCCCATACAGCAGAATACTGAAAAGTAGTAACAGAAACAGCTATAACATACTGAACAAAAATTCAAGTGTCAAGTATGTAGCTTTGTCACAATACAGCAAATGCAGCAAGGAGGAGAAGAAATCTAGAAGAAGATAATGAAAGAAATGAAACTTAGAACATGTGGGCGCAATTCTCATTTGATGCCTCTTTTAGGCTTGGTTTACACTAGGGGGAGGGATCGATCTAAGATACGCAACTTCAGCTACGAGAATAGCGTAGCTGAAGTCGACGTATCTTAGATCGACTTACTTCGCATCCTCGCGGCGCGGGATCGACAGCCGCCGCTCCCCCGTCGACTCCACTTCTCGCCCTGGTGGAGTTCCGGAGTCGACGGGGAGCGCGTTTGGGGATCGATGTATCACGTCTAGATGAGACGCGATACATCGATCCCCGATAGATCGATCACTACCCGCCGATCCAGCGGGTAGTGTAGATGTACCCTTTGTCAAAGACTTAAGTACAACTCCTGCAATAAACGAAAATATTGCTGAAATGGCAAAATACTTCCATAACAGCCACTTTGCTTCAGCTTCAAAGAGAAATACAGGAGGATCCAAACTAATTCTCCCCCTAGATGTACGATGGAATTCAGTGGTTGACTGTTTTGAGCTATTTATTAAGAACTGACCTCTTCTGATAACACTGTGAAGACAATCATGACAAAAAATGATGGAACCATCACAACCAAAGTAATCAACATTGGACTAAGGAGAAATGTTGAAGATATGCTGAATGTACTGAAACCTATTTCCATAGCTTGGGACAAATTGCAGAAAGATTGCTGCAGGTATTGCTGATGCTGTTGAAATTTGGAGAGAACTTCAGGAGACATTAAAGAAAAAGACCCAACAACATAAGAC